TTAAATCAAAATATCCTCCGACACACCGGTTGTGTTAAGGTTTAAAGTGGATCCGATGTTTGAATCGACGTATCATCCGATGAAGGGGATCGACGATCGTTTCAATACGATGCCACGCTCAAAACTAAAAATTCAATTTATCTATAAAAAAATGGAAGATTAAGAGTCGGGAAATAATTTGACGTAAATAAAATATTTTAGGAGATAAATTTAGAGCTAAACCGGACGTGGTACCTTTTTTCGAAAAGGGCGCTTTTGGATGATCGATATCTTCCCAAAAGCGTAACCAACTCCTTACCATGGAATCTCCGAACCAGATGTCCGTTTTAGGTTCCTAGTTCCTTTAATACTAGGTGGCGACTCCAAACTCTGTAAATAAACTTGTAAATATTCAATCTAATTTTAGATATTTTCGAGGAGTCCCGTCCGACGTCGGGTAGCGACAGTAGGTCTCATCTTAGCATGCATACTAGTCAATAATCACATAGTCCTAACATGCATACCAACATCAATCGTATAATATGAATACAAACATCTCATGTATGACATAAAGTTCAATGAATGGTGATGGATCTCTAATAGTAGTCCCCTCGAGCCACCGGGAGACCGGTGGGTCAAATACCTAGGTGAAAATTTATTATAAATTCTTCGAGATTATCTTCATCTCTTGGCTTCTTCTACTTGCATGTATTCTAATTTCTATCTTCTACTTTTATATTTATTTGAATAAGAAGCCTCAAGTTACATTCGAGGGGAGTAACATAAAAAGAGAAATACAATAGAGTAATAAGATAAGGCAGGATACGTAAGCCTTATTTATCCAAAAAAAATACAAACATTCATTCCCATAAACTAGGTTAACTCATCAATAACATTCACCCATGTTTCAATCATATTGATAAATGTCATATTAATAAAATGCATTTCATTCAAATCACAATTATAAATCTATGTTGTTGGTTATTTTATAAATTTATTAAAAGTTTTCTAAATTTTAATTTTAAGACTTTTCGAGCCTTGGGCCCACGAGTTTCGATGCTCGAGCCTTCAACCTAGCACATTTGCACATGCCCGGCCTTGCATTGGCCTCGGGCTTGGTGTGCTCGTGTATGCCAAGCCGGCTCATGGCATTAGCCTTGCTCATACGAGCACTTGGTTGATGGCCCAACGAGCACGAGCGCCTACCCTATGACCCGACATACGTAATGGCATGGCCCGTAGCCTAATGCGTGCGTGCCCGGCATACAACATACCTTGGCCATGTGTGCACCTCACGTGCTTTAGACACGTCGTGGCTCGGGCGTACGCCCGCCTTGTCACGCGCCCAACACATGACTAACCTATCCAAACGAAGGATCATGCATCCTATAGATGTACGGAATAAAAAAAAATCTCCATCTAAAGTGGTCTAAAATCATGTCGTTGAATCAACTAACCATATATTCATAAATTAAAGCGATGAATAAAGAATTACCTCTCGTAAGCGCAGACTTAAACCTTTACAAGAAAATACCATCCAAGTGTCTAACCATTATTGATAATCCATGCGATCCAAGCACCACGTAAGAAGCACTTAAAATCGATAGAGTGTTAGCTCTACCTTTTTAAATTATTTAATGTTTTACTTTAAAAATTAAATCGAGAAAGCTTTACGACAACCCAAGAGAGAGAGGAAAATGGTGTGTTTATTTTTGGAAAGGAAGAAAACTATTTTCTTTTTAATTTTCTACCAAGCCATGTACCCTAGTAATTTTTCTTGTTGTGCCGTTTTCTCTCCCGTTTTAGATTATCCTTATTTTCACACCTCTCCTCCTATTTATAAGGGGAGAGTTTCCTTATCCTCCAAGGACAATGAGGGATGGCAATTAGCCCTAATTGGACTCTTGGTTGTTGCTTCCAAATCCTCTAAGAATTAAGAGTTATTTAACATATGGGATTTGATCTTTATCTTTAAAACATTCATCCTTATCCAATAAGGTTCATGTTTATCCTCCTACCAAAATATCTTTCAAGCTTTTAATTAAACCTATTGTCCAAAACTATTTTGGCCCAATTAATTAATTTGAACTATCTAAATAAATTAGGTTAGATAATTTTAGGAGCCTACATTTAGAAAATAATTTTCAAAATTATCCTTAAACCTAAATTAGGACACAAATTTTCATTTTAGGTTATTTAGTTTCAAATTTAGAACTAACTTCTAAATTAGGAAACCGATTTCTAAAATAGAACTTTTCATTTTAGGAAACTTTCATTATACAAAACTTTCCATTTTAAGAAACTTTTCATTTTCAAAAACTTTTTCCAAAATAGGAAACATTCAAATTGAAAACTTTTTCCAATATTTTTGCTTCTATATATTAATTTTTTCATAATTGTTCTAAATTTGATCATTAATTAACTTAATAATTATTTTTATTTATCACTTTATTTTTAGATAGTTCTATAGTTTTTTTTTTCCTCAAATTAATATTAGTTCCATATAATGCATGATTAAACTTGATATTTAATAATTTTACAGTAGGATATTTTTTATAAAAAAAATATGAACAAAAAATACTAATATTTCATATCAACTAATAAATTTCTCAAATGGTATGAAAGAAAACATATGGAATAATCTTCATCATAAAGAATTATTCTGAATATCAAGAACTGTACGAAAAAACAAAATTTTATGAATTGTTTGATAATAAATCCTCTAACAGAAACATAAAATTCATGAATTATTTTCATAATAAATCTTTATGCTTTTGTAAAAAGACGCAATAATAAATCTAATAATTTTTCATCCATCCTTAAATGGCATATCCATCGTCTGATTCTTAAAAATCATACACCAATACCATATAAATGTATGGATGGGAAAAGGTCCTTTTTTCTCCTTATCAAGGCCCGACCCCTTCACGCAGACGCAGTTGCGTGTGGTCTATATGTTGAATAATAACAGGTTTTTGGATTTTTTTAAATACAAAAGAAACATGACTTTTATGGGATGGTATGGTTTGGACCGATTAATGTCTTGAATACAAACATAAACAGTCTTCGTCAATTATCTAATCTGCCCAAATAATACGCCAACAACCCTCACCTAATGTTATCTTTTATGAATGGATGGATGGATTTATGCAAAAATAACCAATGGCGCCTGCCGCGCGGAGTCATATATCATAAATTTCTTAATCATTCTATATATATATGCTAAAATACCTAATTAAAGTCTATTGTGAATTGCTGAACCCTCATCCTCGAATTAATTAGAAAAAACTCCAATTTTTCAAATACTGATTTCAAAGTTCAGAAAATAAAGGAAAGAAAAATCGAAAAATTGAAATATGGATCCCCATCAGTTATCAACACATTGCACATACTTTAGAGTGCATGACGCCAGAAATGAAAATCAAATTTATTCCCTCCTTGATGTGGACCACATTTATTACCATTAAAAAATTGTCCCACTGTCACAACCCTTTTTTTATTATTCGAGAATCACTGTCACAAACCTTTAATATTTCTCCAGTTGTAACAAAGTAATTTAATTTTGGTCCTCTGGGTTGATGGGTCCTGCCAAATCAATGAAGCAGATTAAAATTTGAGGATGATACTAAGAAAAATAAGCTCAAAGCTAATTTGGGAAGCACCAACGCTAGGCAGCAATGATCTTACGAAACCATCAATGGCAATGGGCCATAGCTACTCCAATGTGGATGATGTTCCCTTCCTCCTAAAGAGGGAAGGATTTCTGAAAGCCAAAACAAGAACAAGTAGTATATCCTTCCTTCTTCACGGCATTCATTCATTCATTTATTGAACCCTCGTGGCATTAGCAGCCGGCGGTGGCTGCATTTACGCTTCCAACTCCAAACATGAGTCATGACACGTAACACTTAAACACTTCCGTATCAAACGGTGTTGCAGATGTGAGTTTCATTTCTGCCAACTACCATGGGACACGTTATTTTGGAGTTTAGTAAATTATAAATTAGTCCTCTAGTTTTTAAAAATGAATTAATTGGTCCCCAAAAAAAGGGTAATATTTGATCTTTCTCTTTTATTTTATTTTAGAACACAACACAATCTACGTTTTTTTGCTTTTAGGATTCAACTTTATGCTCTTAACGTGAATGTAAATCGATCATTCTATATCTTTTTTTTAATAAAATAATTATTTAGTCACTCACTATATTTTTTAAATATTTTTGTAACTTGATCTTTTTTAAAAAAATTATTTTTTATTTAAGAAATATAAGAAAGGAAACATTAAGTAAAAAATATGAAAGAATTTATAAAAAAACATTTTATGAAATAAAAGAATATTAAATTAAACGTATTTAATATTGAACAAAAGATTAAATAATTACTTGTTAAAATATAAAAGACTAATTAATTTATTTTTTGAAAATAGAAGAACCAATTTATAATTTACTCTCTTGAAGATACAAGTAGCTTTCTGGGGCACTTTGGTCATTATCAGCTATGTACCAGACCTCCCTCAAACTTTCTACAAAGTCATGCACCCTTGTGGAATGTAACCTATAGTTAAAATTTAAGTCAACACTTCCAAGATATTTTTCACCCAGAAGAGACCTACCATATGTTGAATTTTTGACCTGTGAGGCTGTCGCTAAATGGATAAATCTCAGAAGCCCATCCACCCCCAACTCTCCCAAGTCCCGGTGGCCAGTTTAATTACCTTCCACAAAGAAACAACTGCTGAATACCTGGATTCAATGTGTTTTTTGTAAGAGGCTTCATGTCCACAAGTTAGAAATAGCCATTAATTATTTTTCCATCAATAAAAAAGGCGAGGAAAAAAAAAAAAAAGTTAACCATCTTGGTAGTAAAGGTTCTAAAAGACCTGATTTCGAAACGCTTTTGCAGTGAAATAATCCTTCCTTGAATCTTCCCTTGAATGAGCCACACAGAATGCTTTATGTTTAATGAAAAGAAAGTTTCAGCAATTTTCAACACCTGATAGATATTCCACCTAAATTCGAGCCTCAATAACTGCCACCACCAAAAGCATCCTCTAAGGGTTCTATGACTTCTGCCTCAACAGATGTCATGGAAACAAGAAGATTCGATAGGACAACTTCTACACAAATCTACATGATCAGATACAAATATATTAACTGCTATGAAGTGAACCATACACGAGAACTAAACGTTCGCAACTTTAGCGTTGGACCAGGAGAGTGAGGCACCTCCTAACTGAGCAGGGAAAAAAGAATCAGCCTAAATCAACACAAATAGAACATAATTGGGGACCTTGTGCAAAGCAAGTAAAAAATAATAATAATAATAATAATAATAATAAAAGCCACGCCCTTTCATCGACTAAGCAACACATCATTCTACTTAACATGGCAAATCCTCGTTAGGCCGACCATTCAATAGACATGGCTTCTTTGGATCATCAAAAGTTAAAAACAGTGTCCATGCAGAAGTTGCACGTACTAATACACTTCATTCTTGCAGCTACGTAGATCTATTGACAGAAATTGTTAACAACTTTTCTGTAAGCAACAAAAGCATGTGTCCATTTTTTCCACTTTAAATAAAGGAATTGCTTATATTTTAGCTTTAATATTGCACTTTGCAATAAATTTAACTCCCCGATCATGCCTCCCAGCAGAAAGATCTGATTGTTTCAGGGCTCACAAGAAGCAGAGCCTCCCAGCAGAAAGATGTGATTGTTTAAATGAAGGCTCAGAACAAGCACAGAGGCCCATATGAGGTATCCCCATCTAATGAAGTACAGAAGTGGTACCCCAAAACACGAAGCGATGTGACCTTCCTATTATGAAGTGATTCTTCTACAAAAATATCAAGCCACAGATTTTTTTCCTGAAGGTTGTTTTAAGTTGATTGTACTGAAACAGACACTATTTGTTCAATCCCTCGATTTTTTCCTCTCTCTCTTGGCTTCTGAATGTTCTTTTTCAGTACCATAATAAGATCTGCTGGAAGAGTCCCTGCTTCCATGCTTATGATGTTTTGAATGTTTTTTGCTGCTCCTCTTTTCTCGAGAGTACCTTTTCTTTCTTCCTTTTGACCTAGAATGGTATCGATCTAGATGATCAGAAGATGAATCACTGTACAAGTCACTACTTCTGTACCGATGTCCTCTAGACCGTTTCCTACTCCTTTCATCTTCAGATGATGAACTACTGCCCCTTTTTCTATGGCAGCTAGGAGGTGATTTAGCTTCCCTATCTTCTTGACCTATCTTTGATGAATAAAGTTTGTCAGATTTGTCTTCATATGACCCAGGCTGTTCATGCTTTTTGGATTCACCCCTTTTAGCAGTCTTTTCATCATGAGGCAACCCTTCTTTTTGGGAAACACTGCAGCCATCGGGAGTGGAAAATGAATTTTCTTCAACTGGCAGGATATTCACATTACCAGTATTGGCAATTGCAGATTCTTTCTGGGGAACAGAAGACCTGGCAATATTGGTTGAGTAAGGTGGATCAGGGGGAACCTCTAATCCCAGTTCTTTCCCCAATGATTCTAGAAAGTCACCGGCCATCAAGCGATTTAATGTTGAGTGAGCCACCTCAATCTGCTTTTCTGGATCCTCCTTTGCGTTGAAGTTTGAGGAGGCTTCAACCTCATCATCAGAATCATCAGAGAAAATAGCCTGCAAAAAATGAGGATTATTGCCGGAAAAAGTGCAGCATATCCTCCTTAGCATGCTCATCAATGAAAGAACATCTGAATTGGCTGCTGATGAGTAAGAGTGTCAGGAACACATCAGCAAGCACGTTAATAGAAGTAGCCACACAAATGCAGGTCTAATGAATGATAAATGGCAAGTTCAGTGTCTGCCAATTTAAGTATTTGGTGAAAGCATATGCTCAACAAAGCGCAGGGGAAATTACACAGATGAAGTTTCTTTCGGCACTTTGTCCAGAAAGAACTAAAATCTTTAACACAGATACAATCATAACCAAACGAGGTGCTCCAATACATTTTCTTTCCTTATCTTGGTTAACTAATAAATGAGGATCACAGTCAATAATGATGGGATACTAGGTAAAAGTGAAGGCTTTATCCTGCTTTCTTATCTTGGTTAACTAATAAATGAGGATCATATTCGATAATGATGGGATACCAGGTAAAAGTGAAGGCTTCATCATGCTTTCTTTTTTGGTGTAGGATGAGCATCTCAGGATAAGAAACAGGTATAAATATACAGTAATTAAAAAGCAAAGTCGAGATGGGAAAATTGAACACAATATCAATATACAGAGCTAAAATATAAGATACTATGAGCTATCTGAGATTGTTTGAGCACACGCAAAGAATTGGTACATGATGAAGGTACTATAGATTAGGAAAAAGACCCCCATGCACTTAGATGCAGGTGCTTGGGGAAGAGAGAAGTGATGAAAAGATAATTTTTACCACATTTGAAATCTTTAGGTCTAAGTTGCAAGTCATGCCAAGGGGAGAAATGCATGCTATAGAGTGTTCAGTCAATAGTAACTTGGATTGCAATTGTACTCCATTTTTGTGTCCTAGGACTAGTGCTTCAAGCAACAATTACCACATATGAAGCTAAAACTGCCATTTGTGTATTCATTCCTGATGCAAAACCTTGAACATGTCAACCAACATTAAGAAATATAATTCAGTGGAAAACTATACCTTATAGAGGTCAACAGGCCTCTCGACATTTTCAACATGAACCTTGACTTCAATTTCACTATCCACTACATCTTTGCTTACTTCTTGAGCCGATGATTGAACCAAAGGTTGATTTCTATCTGCACTAAAAGCTTCCTCCATTTTCATTGCTTTCAAATCTGAAGTAACTATTAGAGAATCCATCTTGCTTCTCATCCGTGGAGATGGTGGCGGCTGAAAATAGAAATATGATACCTCTTGAGTTAACGTACGGTTGTAAATAAAAAATAAAAAAATTCCCAGTATGATGGCTTAAATAGTCAAACCATGCAATTTGTACTAAATATGGATCTTCCATGAAAAAAATGCTTGCTAATCAACAGGATCCAATGCCAAGGCAGGGAAAGGGAAATTACTTGCACCTACTGAACAGCAAGCTAAAATTGCTCTCACCACCCAAAGTACCCTATGCCAGCCCACCCAAAAAGGGTAAAATCCAGCCAGAAAAAGAAAAGATAACCACCAAACAAAGAAAGAAAGGACTTCAAAACAATTTCTTGCAATTTATATCATGTTTCTAGCCCTTAAAACAAATCATAATATAGAAAACAAAGGAAAAAAGAAAATGCTCAACACTCAATTACAGTCCTATCAAAGTAGGGCATGGAAAGGGAAATCGAACAGTCCGATTCAGCATTTTCACAAAAAGTGACTTCTCGCAGCTCAAACTTGCAACATTCATTGCTACAAGCCCAAGTCTTTAACCATTGAGCTAAACAAGGCACTTACCCAGAACATGTAATAAGTGGTAACAAATGTAATGTTAGCTAACAGAAGAGTCTGTTATCCAAAGAGGCCTGCTCTATTGTGTTACACAAACAAGCGTTTTGATGATATGCCTTTTCTAAATCCAACTCAATGATGAAATAGAAGATGCAAATTTGCATTTGCACTTTGATAATTAGGAATTGAATACATGAATTGTCCTCCAAAAAGCTAGCATATAAGATTACCTTTCCCATATAAGGATCAACTAGATCAAAGCGCTTGCACAGGATGGATGAAGGACGCCATTGAAATTCTTCCCTTATAGGGTAAATTTTCTTTGTTGCTAAATCTTCATCCTGAGTATCTTTACCTTGCTGTTCCAGAAACTTTTATTTAGACAAATTATCCAGAGCAGTAACCTCATATACTAAAATTATTGTAACTTGAAATACACCTGTAGTCCACCAGAAGTGAATTGCATCCCTCTACCGGCCGAAAACTCCATAAGCTGCTGACTAAAGAGTTTGTTTTCCTTGCTGAATTTCCCTTTTTCTATTGCATCAGCTGCAGCCTCAAAATCTAATCTCTCATATGCACGAGCTGCTTCTGACATATTGCTAGCTCCACCAGAAACTGTAGAGCGAATCCCTCCTTGGTATTTTTCTCTGAGAAACTGCTCAAATCTTTCTTGCTTTGCAGGATCATCATTGAATGGTTTTGCTACTTCCAGCAACTCACTCTAAATTAGACAGTAATTAAGAAACAGGAAAAAAAGTTATTAAAAAAGGAAAGGAAAAGAAAATGTCAACTCATAATCAAAATAGCCCACTTCATCAAGCAAAGTAATTATCCAAAGAAATAAAATTTTAACAATTTATGCTTGCAGGAAACTTTTTACTGCAATAGACGAGTGACTTAGAAAAAAGGAATACAAATACAGGAGAAAGTTAACTACTTACAAAAGATGTAGGCTTTGTAAATGTATCTGAAAGATTGAACGGGAGATTGACATCTCCAGATGCAACAGATGAACTCAAATCTCTTGAGCTTCTTTCTAAAGGCATTTCCCCTAAAATTTTGCCACGGCTCTCTGCTGTCATCTTCTGTACGCTTGAAGATGATTTCCCATCCAAAGCAATCTTCTTTTGACCGTTATGTTTCTGTTGCTCCTCCCACAACTTTCTTGAATAATAGTCTTGACCATTTCCTCCAAAAAGAAAACTAAATAAAGGATTGGATTGATTCTTCTCTCTAGAAAGATCTTCAAATAATTTACCACATCGAGCAACTAAAGTTGCAACCCCCTCAATTAAGACTTTCAAACTATCATCCTCCGGAGGAGGAACCTCAGGGGAGGGGGAATAGCATGCTTGTCGACAGACTCGAGAGGACCGGGAAATTTATGGTGAGGCAAAAAATCCTTTGGAATTACTGGAGGACCAAATCTGAAGAAAATTTCAAATTTTTGAAACATAGAAAAGGGAAAAAAACAAATAGAGAAGTCAGTGCATCTGATGCCCATTCTTTCTTCCAATAATGCTATGAGAACATAGTAAGGATAATTAACTACATGGTAATTATGATAACAAAAGATAACTCAAGTTCAGATTTTCGTTATCCGCAAAATCACTACATTCATCTGGAACAATTAACCACTGCACTGATCATTAGAGGCTATGCATGAAACATTTGAAACGAAAGGTTGGTAAATAATATGTGAGAGATGTACAAATTCATATGCCTCATAAACCCATGATTCCCCAATTACCTCTCCAACTGGTAGTCAGAATCTGATGCAGCTTTAAAGCCAGGTAGAACACCCTTCTCCTTCCAGAGCAATTTTGGCCTATTTTCGGTGTTGGATTTCAGGGGCTCTTCATCTTCTTGGACATGTGTATCTTCAAAGTCATAAGCTGATCAAGAAGTAAAGTAAACAAAAGTAAACCCTTGTACCACAGGAAAAATTAAAAATAGAAATTGATATAAGCTGAAATGAAAAACAAATGAATAAAGAAATGATGAATTAAGGTACAATAATAGAGCTAATCTCTCATGACTGCAGATAAGCATAATTGGAAAAGTGAATTTTTAAGTATGATTAGAACAGTGAACTAGTAATCTTTTTAGTTCTGCAGTTAATAAGAAATAAAAAAACACCAGAATTGAACGGTATTATATGTATAGCAATACACCCAATGCTAATTTGATCAACAAACAAGGAAAAATACTTGAATAGATCCCTGATAAATATAAAAAATAAAATTAAAAATGAAATGCTAACAAAGTACAGAAGTCTAAACTTCTTATCGGTGCACGGTTTTGTTAAAGATAAAGTAAAAACAACAAAGCAAACATGAATAACCAAAGAGTGAAGGCATAAATCAAGCCCCTAATCCACCAATAGGTAGTTCAATCTTCATATCAACTAGCATGCCATGCACACAGAAATAGTAATTCTATTATTCAAGTCAGATAATGCTACTAACCAGAGGCATATACGTCCTCATCTTCAGCATCATATTCTTCAAGTGCTCCAATGCCAAAACCAGGAGCAGCCCTTCCTGCTGATGGATCAAACATAATTATTTAAATCAACCTTCAAGATAAGTAGATTATGGACACATGTAAAATACATGAATAAAAACAAAGGCGTAGAGCGAGGAAGAGAATTACAAATATGGACATGAAAAGTGGTTCATTAAAAAACATTTCTTACACTTCAAGCCAAAAAGACTATCTTTGATTGATAAAGCTTGTTTATTCCCAGACCCTCTTTTTCCAGATACACGTGTTCTTTTCTTCTCTGTAAGTGATAAAGAAACAAAATAGAAAAGAAAAGAAAAAACCTGCTAAGATACAACAGGATCTGTATAAATGAAATCATTAAATATAACCTAGTCTACTTCAGCTTAGATACCTCTGAACTCAGGAGCATGCTTATAGGGATCATACCCTAAACCATGTGTGTCCTCCTTTGGGTTTAGTATATATACCTACAGCAGTAAAAGACGAGACACACCATTTTATGCTGCAGCCTGAAAGACTTCTCTAATTCAAAATAGTACATAGCAACAATTTATATCAACAAATTATCATAGGGTACACAGATGCAGGATCTCTTTTACAACATAGAAATCAGACTCTTATTCTTTTCTTTTCTTTTTTCCAGTATCAATGAGGTGAAGGTATTTAGGCTGCAACGCAACCTTAAAACATGTTTAAAAAAAAAAGGTTGAAGAATAACAAAAAACAAAAAATAAAAACTGTGAATCTTTTTCATAGGTGATCGCCTAGAAAGGTAGAAGGTGCTCACAATTGTATTGAAGGAAGAAAAAAAGAGGACAAACCACGTATACGTTCATTTTATTCTATTATATTTATTACCTGTTTCAAAAGATCGAATCCTTACTATTATATTTATTAACTGTTTCAAAAGATAGAATCATTAATCAACTAACCGCCTTTCAGGATGCAACCTTAAAGCAGAGTCTAGAAGCTTAAAAGAATAAAAAAGAAACAATTTGTAAGGATCAAAAGTCAAACAAAGGAAAAAAGAGGCCAAAAACATGGGATAATTCAGGAAAAATCCTCACAGGTGTGCTTTGAGAAGAGGGGACATCATCATTAATGGGCTGGTCTAAGCTGCTTTTGAGGTTTTCCTCACCAGGCTCAGCTTCAAGCTGTGATTTTGCATCATCAGATGAAAATGCTAGGAAGGCTTTTCTTGCTTCTCTACGAGCCTCTACAATTAAATTATTAAGGTTGAAAAAAATACAATGTTAGGCCTAACTATACTGTGCATTAATGATTAATAATGCCAAGTTGACTAAAGGCATCTCATAGTTGTTAAGAGACAGGATTACACAAGGAATGAGATTTGCAGAGGGCATACTGTAAAGTGAATTTGCACGTGAATCCTTGATTGAGTGACCATGTCTCCATCCCATCTTCAGCAGCAATTTTACACCTGACCAAGAACAGCAAGGTTGATTCAGGATTACTCAATTCACGCCAGAAGCAATTATACTAAAAACAGTATTGCAGACGAGCAAATACTAACCAATAGACTCTGTGGCTGGAAGAACTATTTCATCAGGAGCAGGTCCAGGAATTGCAGAAGGCCTGTAATGGGGGAGCCAGAAAAAGAATTTCACACTGCTGTCCGCGTGGAATTGAAAAATGAGGAAAAAATGTAGCAAGTAATTGAAATGTGCATTTGAGTGTGCAGGGGGAGGGGGTGCATAAATTAAAATTATCAGATGAGGTAATTACAGTGTGTTGACACATGAAATAACAAAATGGAACAAGCATTCACTAAATAATGCTACAAAGTTCTTCCGTTGGCAGAACAAATAGAAAAAAGAATCTATGAATTCACCTATTGAAAAACTTCCCAATTTCACAGAATTAAACTGCATTTCTTATTCATAATGCTAGAAAAATAAAATAACATCCTTGAAATTTTTATTCACTTGATGAAGCAATTGACATCAAACCACACTAAAATATGACTCGTCCTGAATTCACATTAAGCACTAATGGCAAAAACAAATATCGCAACCAATAATCACCAATAAATAAAAAATAAAAAATACATCACAAGCACTTAAGGAAACCTCTGCTGTTGTTCATTCTCAGCTTTTTTACGAGCAATTTCAGCAGCTGTAAATCCAAACGTATCAAACTGTGATGACGTCCCCAAAGATCGACCTTCCAATTCCTAAAATGCAAAACCAAAAGTTTAATAGACAAGAATTATGCTCTAATAATCCATTACGAAAACAAATTTCACAATATCATACAAAAACACACGCACACATACCTCTTTCTCATCTTCATCTAAGAAGTTGAGAATGCTCTGCTGTTTAAATTCAGCTCTATTTTTCCGAGAAGACGTGAACGACTGAGGAGCCCATCCTACAAACAAATAAATAAATACAACATCAAATAAAAAAATTAAAAAAAGAAAGAAAGAAAAAGAAGCGTTAATTTACCTTCTTTTGAACCAGCTGTGTTGTAATAACCAGCTGAGAATCCACCAGTAAATGCTCCATGAAATCTTCTCCTTCCTTCTTCATCTCTAACCTAAATTAAATTAAATTTAAAAATCAATAAATATTAATGATTTGTATTTTTTAAGAAAATAAATTGAAAAGAAAAGGTAACCTCTTGCTTCCAAGAAGGAAGCGTACGGAGGTGACCGGAGGCTTCCGCGACGGCTTTTTCTTGCGACTGGTTAGCTCTTCCTCACGCTCTATCGGTGTACCGAAGAAGACAAAATCATCTTCGTCTATATCCATGCTTTGGTTTTGGTTTTTTGAGAGTGAATTTTCCCAGGGCAAATCGGGAGAGACAGGAAATTAGACTTGCAAACGACTACTGGAATCTGCATTCAAACGTCATCTCGTTTCAGTTCACACCCACCGACATGTCATTCAAACATAAGGGTCTGTTCCCCTTTTTTTGGCCCAAAATATTCTCTGTAAATGTTTATCTTTCCAACGTGAAACAAACACTAGAACATTATAGTATATTTAAAGAAAATCTAAAAAATCTTTGCAAATATTACTACATTGCAATTACAAAAGACACTAAAATAGATGGGATGTTCATTGTTTCTAAATTGTTCATTAAGATTGAGTTCACCGTCGATCAAAAGTCATTTACACTATACTCAACTTTTCAATTCTTCTAGACCGTATCTTACATTGTACTCAATTTTTCAATCCTTCTAAATCGTCTCTCTTTTAGTTTGTCTCAATGCCTCTTTTTACATCCTTGATTTGTCTCTTCTTTCATTTTTTTTCTTTATTCCTTTTCTTGCATTGTCTTTTATTTTTTTATCTTCTTCTTTCCAGATTTTATTTCATCTCTTAATTTACACCCTCTTATTGTCTATTTAATTTCTTCTTTGCCATTTAGTAATATTGTGATCTTACATTTGTGCTCCTCTTTCTTCTTTTCCTTTGACTCATTTTATGTCCCTTTTAGTCAATTTCATCTTAGAGCATTTAATGCTCAACTCTTTTAGTTCAAAAGAATTAATTAGTTTGTAATTTCCTTTCCCAACACTTCCATAAGGTTGGTGAGTATGTCACGTGTATGGGGCAATGGAAGTGGGAGAGTTTTGGAAATTTACTTCTAAATGAAATTTGTCCGAGAATTACGAGTGTGCCTCCGCCGGTTCCATCATAAGAGGAAAACAAGCCTTTTTGGTCCCTAACTCCGTAATGGGGTATTTTCTACAAAGTCGGCTTATGAAGCTTCTCAACCGGTGAATACTAATAGCCGGGATAATTGGGATCCAGTGTGGAGATGGAAAGGACCTCAACGCATTAGAACCTTTTTATGGCTTGCTTTTCATGGAAAACTTCTCACCAATTTGCAACGAGTGCAAAGGAATCGGACATCAAATCCTTTTTGTAGCCGTTGTCATGCCGATCAGAAAACCATTACCCATGTTCTAAGAGATTGTCCTACTACATACTGTTGTTTGGAATGAAGTGGGAGCAAGCAATAGGGTGAATCATTTTTTCTCTCGGATCTTAAGGATTAGTTCCGTGCAAACTTGGAGAAATCGATTCTGCTAGTCCGCAAGCGAGTGTCTTGGAGCACTTGTTTTGGAGTTCTATCTTGGTTTATTTGGTCTTGGAGGAATAAATTCATTTTTAATAATCGATTCATTATGCCTAATAAGCTAGGTTAACGTCATTCATGCTTTTTGTAATGCTATTGCTACTAGTTTTGTGATGAATCATGGGTTGATCGAGTTTAATGGGAGGAAAGTGAAAACTCGATTGGATGGGTCAAACCAATAATAGGTTAGGTAACTTAATATGGATGGTGCTTTTCGAGCATCGATTGGCGTTACTACGACTGGAGGAGTCCTTAGAGATAATATTGGATCTTGGTTATATGGGTTCTCTTACCGCATTAGGATTTGTACTTGTCTTATATGCGAATTATGGGGCATGGCAGTTGGGTTGAAAATGGTGTGGAAGTTGGGATATCGAAAGATTATTTTGGAATCGGACTTTTGACTCGCATTCAACTTAATACTATCTTCGAAGGATCATTGTGGCCTATATCATCGGTTGATCTCTATAATTTTTTATTTGCTTCATAAACCTTGGCAAGTGCGGGTTACTCACATTTATAGAGAAGCCAACCGGGTGGTCGATTGTCTTGCGTCGTGTACTTATTTTCTTCCTTTAGGTATCTTGTTTTTTCGAGCATGCTCTAATAGAATGTTGTAACCTCCTTCAACGGGATGTTTATGGAGTTTTTTTCCCTCGATTTTTGTAACAATATGTGTATTTCTTAGAGCTTAGCCTCTCTCATGAATCGAAAAAAAAAAAACATTCCAACTTAATCCTAAGCCTCAAAGTAGTATTTTTAGGCTTGGGCTTAATTAAAAAAATATGTTTATTTTTTAAATCAAGTCATAATTATACCTGTATTTTTAGGTTTAAGTCTATGTTATTTTTATTTTCTTTCACCTAACCAAACTAAATTCCATACGGAATCATATTTTTTTTATGAAAAGACAGATAAATTAAGGTTGAAGTTTACAAAAGACACTAAAATAGGTGGGATGTTCATTATTCCTAAACTATTCACTAAGGTTGAGTTCACCGTGGATCAAGAGTCATTTGCACTATACTCAACTTTTCGGTCCCTCTAGCTCGTCTCTCATTTGGTCCGTCTCCCTTCCTCTTTCGACACCCTTGATTTGTTTCTTCTTTCATTTTTTTCTTTATTCCTCTTCTTGCATTGTCTTTTATTTCTTTATCTTCTTCTTTCCAGATTTCATTTCACCTCTTAATTTACACCCTCTTATTGTCAATTTCCTTTTAATTTACACCCTCTTATGATCAATTTAATTTCTTCTTTGCCATTTAGTGGTACTCGTGATCTTATATTTGTGCTCCTCTTTTTCTTTTCCTTTAACTCATTTTATGTCCCTTTTGGTCAATTTCATCTTAGAGCATTTAATGCTCAACTCTCTTGATTCAAGAGCATTAATTCGTTTACAATTTCCTTTCCTAGCACTTTCATAAGTAAGTTTTCATGTTAAAAGAAAAGGAGTCTTCCAACTTAATCCCAAGCCTCAAAGTAGTATTTTTAGGCTTGGGTTTAATTTAAAAAATATGTTTATTTTTTAAATCATGTCATAATTATACATGTATTTTTAGGTTTGAGTCTATGTTATTTTTATTTTCTTTCACCTAACCGAGACTAAATTCCATGGGGAATCATTTTTTATTTTTATGAAAAGACAACTAAATTAAGGTTGAAGTTTACAAAAGACACTAAAATATGTGAGATGTTCATTGTTCCTAAACTGTTCACTAAGACCGAGTTCACTTGTGGATTAAAAGTCATTTACACTATACTTAACTTTTCGGTCCCTCTAGGCCATCCCTCATTTGGTATGTCTCGCTTCCTATTTCTACACCCTTGATTTGTCTCTTCTTTCATTTTTTTTCTTTATTCCTCTTCTTGCATTGTCTTTTATTTCTTTATCTTCTTCTTTCCAAATTTCATTCCATCGCTTAATTTACACCCTCCGATTGTCTATTTAATTTCTTCTTTGCCATTTAGTGTTATTGTGATCTTACATTTGTGCTCCTCTTTTTCTTTTCCTTTAACTCATTTTACGTTCCTTCGGTCTATTTCATCTTAGAGCGGTTAATGCTCAACTCTCTTGGTTCAAGAGCATTAATTCGTTTCCAATTTCCTTTCCCAGCTTTTCCATAAGTAAATTTTCGTGTTTAAAGAAAAAAGAGCCTTCCAACTTAATCTTAAGCCTTAATGTAGTATTTTTAAGCTTGGGCTTATTTTAAAAAATATGTTTATTTTTTAAATCGAGTCATAATTATACTCGTATTTTTAGGTTTGAGTCTATGTTAATTTTATTTTCTTTCACCTAACCGAGACTAAAATCAATGTGGAATCATTTTTTATTTTTATAAAAAGACATGTAAATTAAGGTTGAAGTTTACAAAAGACACTAAAATAGGTGGGATGTTCATTGTTCCTAAACTCGTTCACTAAGATTGAGTTCACTCGTGGATTAAGAGTCATTTGCACGATACTCAACTTTTCAATCCCTCTAGGTCGTCCCTCTTTTTGGTCCGTCTCGCTTCCTCTTTCGACACCTTTGATTTGTCTCTTCTTTCATTTTTTTCCCTTTATTCCTCTTCTTGCATCATCTTTTATTTCTTTATCTTCTTTCTAAATTTCATTTCATCTCTTAATTTACACCCTCTTATGGTCTATTTAATTTCTTCTTTGCCATTTATTGGTATTGTGATCTTACATTTGTGCTCCTCGTTCTTCTTTTTCTTTGACTCATTTTACGTCCCTTTTGGTCAATTTCATCTTAAAGCATTTAGTGCTTAACTCTCTTGGTTCAATATCATTAATTCGTTTGCAATTTCCTTTCCCAACACTTCCATAAGTAAATTTTCATGTTAAAAGAAAAGGATCCTTCCAACTTCATCCTAAGCCTCAAAGTAGTATTTTTAGGCTTGGACTTAATTTAAAAAATATGTTTATTTTTTAAATCGAGTCATAATTATACTCGTATTTTTAGGTCCGAGCCTATGTTGTTTTTTTCTTTCACCTAACCAAACTAAATTCCATGTGGAATCTTTTTTTATTTTTATTTTTTATTTTTATAAAAAGACACGTAAATTAAGGTTGAAGTTTACGGAAGACACTAAAATAGGTCGAATGTTCATTGTTCCTAAATTGTTCACTAAGACCGAGTTCACCGTGGATTAAGACTCATTTACACTGTACTCAACCTTTCGGTCCCTCTAGCTCGTCCCTCCTTTGGTCCGTCTCCCTTCCTCTTTCTACACCCTTGATTTGTCTCTTCTTTCATTTTTTTCTTATTCCTCTTCTTGCATTGTCTTTTATTTCTTTATCTTCTTCTTTCCAGATTTCATTTCACCTCTTAATTTACACCCTCTTATTGTCTATTTAATTTCTTCTTTGCCATTTAGTAGTATTGTGATCTTACATTTGTGCTCCTCTTTCTTCTTTTCCTTTGACTCATTTTACGTCCCTTTTGGTCAATTTCATCTTAGAGTATTTAATGCTCAACTCTCTTGGTTCAAGAGTATTGATTCGTTTGCAATTTCCTTTCCTAGCACTTCCATAAGTAAATTTTCATGTTAAAAGAAAAAGAGCCTTCCAACTTAATCCCAAGCCTAAATATGTTTATTTTTTAAATCATGTCATAATTATACCTGTATTTTTAGGTTTGAGTCCGTTATTTTTATTTTCTTTC